CATCTTAAAGAGCCACGTTTGGACAACACTGATCTAAGGAGTTACAAAAATGGCCAGGGCAACGCCTGATCACCAGCCGTACATAATAGTGCTGTTCCTTCAATGCCCGATCTGATCCCTACATTAACCCATTTCCAGGTTGGCACAATTTCAACATAAAGTCGTCCTGATGCCCAGCACGACTCCCGGTAACTTCATGGGCACATCTGTGTAGCTTTCCTGGGAACAATACAGAAGCGTTTGCCACTGGCTCCTTCCAAGATGGTGCTTCAATTTCTTGGCCAGACTACAGCCCTGAGATTTCCTGGTGGCGTCTCATCCAAGGTCTAATCAGGTCTGACTCTGTTTGGAGTAACCAAGTGGGCTGGGTTTGACCAACATGATTTTGATTATGTGCCATCAAGTGGGTGTTGACTCTTGGGGACCACACAGATGGACCTTCTCCAGGAGGACCTGTCCCCAACCTGGTCCTTCAGGACTTCCAATGGTGGCCCCATCGCTGCTGTAACTGAGTCCATCCACCTTGGTGCCAGTTTTCCTCCTCTTCTCTTTCCTTCCACCTTTTCCAGCATTATGGGCTTCTTCAGAGAGCTGGGTCTTCATGCTCATTAATTGGTTATGGGCCATCAATCAAGTCAGTGTTGACAGCAAGTGCATAGATGGACCTTCTCCATGATGGTCGGTTCCCAACCTGGTCCTTCAGGTCTCCCAACGATGCCCCCATCGCCGCTGTAAGTGAGTCCATCTACTTTGCTGGTGATCATCCTCTTCTTCTCCTTCCTTCCAACCAATACGATAGGCCCTTAAAATAACCAAGATTAGCCCTAACCAAGCTTCAGATGTCGGGCCAACGTATCTGCTGCTTCTTCACCCGACTTAGTCAAATTCCTAAAGATACACCAACAATCATTTGCATCAGATTTGGTTTGGTCACCAAGAGGAACACCAACTTGGCTTTTAAAACTCCGAAGCCCATATATTTTACCCCCAGCTAAGCCAATGGATTCGTGCAATGTATTTATTTCATGTATTAAAGTTCTCAATCATATCAACAAAGTTTGTTTTTATTTGCGTGCATTAATTTTTACTAATAGGTATTTAAGGAAGCAAAACAAGCGTGCTGCATTTCATCTTCCCCAAAATAAAAAGTATTCCGTGTATTTCAGAGCAGGCTTCCTTGCTGCTTTGCAATGAAAGCCTAGCTGTGTTTGGGAGGGACGGATTCAGTCAGAACAGCCTCGTTCTTTCACGGGTGCGGGGCCAGAATCCACCAAAGCGAGCCTGTGAAATGCAGGCAGATCAAAGCCGGGCCTTTCAAAAACCGCTGTGCTTTGATGGAAAAGTAAGTTCGTGAAAGAAAGAAGCGGTTCGCTCATGTTCATGAGCAAGGAAGGAAAGATTAGAAGGGCGGGCCAGGAAAAAGTTAGATTATACTTAAGAAACCATCTGCTGGTGATTTCAGACCTCTGCAAAAGTCTGGGTCTGATTTCATAGGACCCTCCTCAGGTTTTTACGAGTGAAAGAACGAGGACATACGCGCCTTTCCTGGCCAAACAGAGCTTCCCTATCCAGTAGCAACATCAAAAGCATCTGTCTGGAGAACACCACCAGGAAAAAAGTATACAATCTGGGCTTGTAAAAAGTATCACTTTACAGTGATGTTTCTCAACCTTAGCAATTTGAAGATGTGTGGACTTTAACTCCCAGAATCCCTCAACCAGCACATCTTAAAGCACACTGGCTGGGGAGTTCTGGGAATTGAAGTCCACCCATCTTACAGCATGGAATTCTGGGAACTGAAGTCTACCCCATCTTAAAGCACAGAATTCTGGGAGCTGAAGTCTACCCCATCTTAAAGCACAGAATTCTGGGAACTGAAGTCTACCCCATCTTAAAGCACGGAATTCTGGGAGCTGAAGTCTACCCATCTTAAAGCACAGAATTCTGGGAGCTGAAGTCTACCCATCTTAAAGCATGGAATTCTGGGAGCTGAAGTCTACCCATCTTAAAGCATGGAATTCTGGGAGCTGAAGTCTACCCATCTTAAAGCATGGAATTCTGGGAGCTGAAGTCTACCCATCTTAAAGCAACGGAATTCTGGGAGCTGAAGTCTACCCCATCTTAAAGCATGGAATTCTGGGAACTGAAGTCTACCCATCTTAAAGCATGGAATTCTGGGAGCTGAAGTCTACCCATCTTAAAGCATGGAATTCTGGGAGCTGAAGTCTACCCATCTTAAAGCATGCTGGCTGGGGAATTCCAGGAGTCCACCCATCTTCAAGCATGCTGGCTGGGGAATTCTGGGAACTGAAGTCCACCCATCTTCAAGCTGCCAAGGTTGAGAAACCCTGCTCTAAGGCGTTCCCGTGCACAGATGAAAGGCAATCCGCGTGACCTCAGAGACTCTGATTTCCTTTGAAACAATGCTTACTGGAACAAAACGCTCTGAGACTGCCAACTCAGTGCTCTCCGGGCCAGAAGGTGGCTTCTTTCAACTCTTCCTACAAAGCTGAAATTCAACGGAGACGAAAAGAAGGGCGATCTCGGTGGCCGCGCGCCTCACGCGGGGAGAACGGACGGACGCAGGGAGACCGTTTCCCCGGGCAGGACAGAAGGGGAGGCCGTTCCAAGAGCCGCGTCCCAACGGGAGGGACAGGCCGGCGGTCGGTGGCAAACGCCCACAGAACGAGAAGCAGGTCCTGCCCTCCTCCGCACACCCGATTCTCGCCCAGTTTGCACGCCTCATCCCACCCGGCGGTGCGCTTGGCTCCGCACCGAAGAGCCCATCTTACTTGTCATAACAAATCCAAAGTAGATAGAAAAGCCTTAGCCAATTAAACTGGAACGCGCCGGCCGAAAAGAAAGAAGTTGCTCGTGGCTGACCGGGCTTTTCTCGCCGGGGGAGAGCAGGCTTGGGGGTGGCAAGTGGAGGCTGCGAGTGCCCCAAATACCATCAGAAGAAGAAAAGGGGGTTAATACGATGCTAAAGCCAAGGCGATCGGCGTGAGATCACTCGATGCGGGCCCTGGGCCTCGCTGCCTTCCTGCTTCTTCCCCAGCAGCCCCACCTGAGACTTGGGTGGCAGCCTGGATTTTGGACTGGGTCCAACGCTACCCGTTTCCAACACAGGACACAAAGGGGCATTATGAAGGAAACTTGCAAGAACGAAAAAACCCGACCCAACCCATCGCCTGACTCTAATCCATCAAGGTTTCTTGGGGCCAGCAACGCCCACTAACCTCTACCCTCACAGCAGACAGGAGCCTAAAAAAAAGGGGGGGGGGAATACGAAGATATAGTTCTGAAATCTGCATGTTCTCCATAGCAGGGGTTCAAAAATGTAAGGAAAGCTTCACTGGGTCAGCACAGTATACCTTCTCTGGAAAGTTCCAGGTGCGAGATGCACAATAGTTCCCCACCCATCCGGGCTGCTCCTGCTCACCAGTTTGGGGAGAGAATAATCTCTGAATCTAGAACCTCTTTTTCCAACTAGGGGCCTTTCTAAGGGATAGGACTAAATCTCCCAGAATTCTCAGCTGGTGTAGTTGAAGGCTGGAATTCTGGGAATTGGAGTCCCAACCCTTCTGGGGGGGTGCCAGGTTGAGGAAGCCTGATCTAGACGTTCCGTCTCCAAACTCACTACGTGCAAGGCCAAAACCGTTCTTTTGCAAACACAGAATATTTGGGGGTTAATTGCTCCAGATGACTCTGAGTTCAAGTTACGAAGTCGCAAAGAGAATGAAACGATGATTCTTTTCCTGCCCATTTTCCTCCTGACCCCCAAGCACGGCTTCACTGCATTCTCCTTTTCATCATTTTTTTTTCCTTTATTCCTAATACTTTTCAACTCTTCTTCCCAAGGGAGAAAAGCCAACAGGGAACTCAAAAATCTCTAAGGCAAGTTGCAATGACAGTTGACACCTTGCACGCCTTTCTAGAGGAGGGAGAGGGGAGAGACATATGAAGGATTTTCCCAGCGTGGTGAAAAATAAGGATCTATGTTCAGGAATACTAAATGTGTGTGTAAGAACTGCCCCGAGGCAAGTTAAGACCTCTGCAATATGCCCTGAACAGCTCTGAGTCGCTGAGTCTGATTGCATTTTAAAGTTCCCACAATGCCCTAGATGTGGTGGCACCCTAAGGCATTCTGGGAAATTTAGTTTCTCATGTACGAGACAGCCCTGTCATAATTAAGGGAGGATGTCATCTACTGACAAACCGCAAAAAGATCTTTATCCTTTGCATCTTTATGCTTTGCTCAGCTAATTAATCCAGGAAGAAAATTCCCACATTGCTCTGTCGAAAACACAACTTTGCCTGGTTGTGCAGGAGGTGACTTGTTGCTCACCCTAGGCGACCATCCATTCATACACTTGTTAACGTCCTGATTTGGAGCATGGAAACGTAATAATAATAAATCTCAGATACGCAGTAGATATATCTATGTCCTTAGATATGATGCGTGATTGGAGGGTAAATAGGACAAAGCAGACATGTATACATGGATGTGCACACGCACACACACACACAAACTTCCAATCCTCCCAGGAAGAAGATAATGAAACCAGGGCATATGTTCAATTTGGAAGAGGATCTTGCAAAAACTGAGGCTCTGAGCCTGCAGAAACACACAACGGCCAGTTTTCTGAACGCTTCCAGATGCTCTCAGACAGCTGTTCCCTGCTGCTTCCAAAGGGCCCCAGAATTCAAAATCTGAATTGCGAAAACAGCCCCAAAAAAGAGAAAGCTCTTCTAGTGGGGCCCTTGAGTGGGTCAGAAAGGTCAAGATGGCAGCTGTAATGGTGCAAGGGAAGCCCTGCCCCTTTTTAGTGCAATGCACAACCAGGGGATTGCACAAGAAGGTTTGCACACGCGCGCACACAGACACATACACACACACACCCCATGGGCAACTCTGCCTTATGGGCAAAAGAGCTTGCTTAAAGGCAAGGAGGGGATATGAATCTCTCAATAGACCTATATGGGTTATCCCCCTAGAACCCCCTCCCCAAATTATTTGGTCTGGCCTTCACCCACACCCCCCAACCCACACCAGACTCCGTATTCCTCAAGCAGGTGGCGAACATTTAAGATTTTCATTCAGCCCCCCTTTCAGCAGAAACCTCTTTAAAGGTAGGCAGGGGGACTGCCAGAAATCCTGAAAAAAAAGTAATACCCAGAAAAGTCTTTTGCCCCTACAGCCTCCCACGGAGAAAACAACCTCCCAATTTAATTTTAGTTCATGGAAAAGAAGAGAGATGCACAGCTGACTTTTCAAAGGGAACTCCTAATCGGAAAAGGATTCTGTAGGTAATCCCCATTTTGCTGGGTACTTCTGCTGTATCTCTGACGATCCGCTCTACGCAACACGGAGGTAGACGGCACTCGGATCCATCCGGTTTGGAGGGGAAGCGGTCCAGCTCCGAAGCCGAAGAGCAGCGGTGCCCCACAGCTGCCGCCCCTTGGTGCTCTCACCAAGCCAACTTTCCTTTCGAAATTTTAAAAAGGAACTTGCCGTGAGATGCTAGAATTCGGTATTTATCATGAGATACTAGAATTTCGTCAAGGGAATGTAAGATAAAATCAAGAGAAGAACTGGTGGCAGAGGGACGTTAAGAAGGGAGAAACTATGACTGTCACTGCTGGGGAGAGTTTCTGTGATAAAAATGAATGTCTTGCCTGAAAGGATGCTTTTGTTTCAGACAATACCTGTTCTGACAACTG